CAGAAGTAGTTCTATTGTTGTCTCATCAAAGGGGAACAAAAACAAAACAAAACAGCACAAAAGAACAACAACAAAAACCCACAAAATGTCCCAAGTTCAAATGCAATACAGTTTCAGTGAGTTTTTCAGCATGATGTGGTAGTTCGGTTTTTGTCTCATGAAAGGGAGAGAAAAAAAAAAAGAGTCTGGAGATAGTTCTGTGAATGGCTATCTGAGGCTGTGGCTCACCTGCCCGTTGCTGTCAGCCTGCTGTTGCTGGAGGCTTTATTTATGCAGATCTCAGGAGTGAGCTTAACACTCACCTGGTCTTGCAGGCTTTGTTTACTCAGAGTTCTGCTTGGCGCGATGCCACTGCTACAAGCTTTCCCCTTTCCAAGCACACTGGGGAAGGTGACACTGCACCAGCTTTCTCAGGCCTGTGTGTTTATTTACAGTTTATGTGGAAAGTGGGGCTTTCCCCTCTCCTTGGAGTTTTCCTCCTACTGCCACTTTTATAAGCTTTCCTGTACCTGGTTGCTGGGCGTGTGCCGCCACTCCTGCCTTCTCCAGCCAGCTTGTGAGGGATTTCTCCTCCCCTCCTTTTGGCACTCAGGGCGCCCTGCCCTCTTCGCTACATGTCTTTTTTGTTGTTATTGCTTATTATTCAGTTTCTCTTTTTTTCCCTGTGTGGGTTCTGTCAAGGGGGCTATGCTGATTTGGCCCAGGGTTGTCTGTGGGAGTACCATGTACTGCTTAGTTCACCTGTGGTTCACATCTTCCCAAGCCATCTGGGCACTGGTGTCTGGTGGCGGTGCAGGAGACCTCCTGGTTTCTCCATTTAATGTGAAGTGGAGATGCTATGTGCAGGCTGGAGGTGTGGAGGAGTCAAAGCTTTGCCTCTTCTGGGTGGTTTTTCCTGTAAGGTGTATCTCCAGCATCTCTCCCAAATTTTACTTTAGGAGGCACGCTTTCTGCTTCCTCCCTCCAGCCGCCATCTTGGAATTCTACTACTGCATTTTTAACTCCGGAGAGCTCATTTTGGTTCCTTGAATATTGTTTTATGAATGCAAAACCTCTTTTCCTTCTAAAGACACTTATTATAATTAAAAAAATATATTTTTTGTGCATTACTTGCTTGCTTTGAATTGTCTTTTGGTTGATTTTGATTATTGTCATATTTATTTATTTATTTTTGAAGCACTGTGGTTTGAACTTAGGGACTCACGATTGCTAGGTTGGCACTCTACTACTTGAACCACTTTGCCAGCCTAAGATTGGTTTATTTTGATCCCTGTTTTTCAGTTTAAAGTTTTCTTCAAATGTGGGATGATCCAGGGTTATATGTTCAAGAGATAGACACTAAAAGCTGACTGAAATTATACATATAAAAACAGAGCTTCTTGATGTTTGGTCTTCATTGTTGAGTCATTTCAATGGGGACTCCTAGCTGTTAGTACTTATGGGTCTGATTTCTTCAGCCCATCAATTTCTCCAAAGAGAAATCCTGTAATCTTGGCTATAAGCAAAGTCATGCTCACTCCATGCTACTATTTTGATTAATTAATCACTAAAACAACTGTTGTAAGAATATAAGAAAGGTAGAGATCAATTAGTAGAAAGGCTGCAGGAATCTTAATAGATGAAATGTGACATGTAATAATTTATGAAAGACAAGCCAATGAGAAACTAAGGTAAGAGAGAATCCAATGGAATGATAATTAAATGCTGTAGTTCAAAGTGTGGGGTGTTCACTTTCAGTTGATAATATAGTACAGCTTATAAAGACATATCTGGAATGAAGTGTTAGTCATAAAGTAGCATGTGACTTTGGCAGGTCACTAATGTCTAAGAGACTCAATCTCTTCAACTGGAAATGGGGGAGATTGTCTCTAAAGTACCCCTAATTCTAAAGTTTCTTTAAGGTACTTACCATTAAGATTATTTTGCATGAGTTTCTGAGTGATGAATTATAATTAAGGAATGATTGTGTGTAGCTCATAAGAGTGAACTTCGGAGCTTTGAAACTACTCACTCTCATGAAAACAGTAATTATTTTAAGTTGTATGGTACTTAATTACTATTTACATTACATTTTATGTGTATGCTACTTTAAATGCCTGTTTACTTGCTATATATATATATATATATATATATATATATATATATATATATATGAAGTATGATTTTCCCTCTAATATAGTAAAAAGTTAAAACCTGAAACAAACCACTTTGAAATTCTGAGTTTGTTTTTTCCCTTTATATGTAGATAGAAGATATCATTGAAGAAGGAAAATAGGTCTCTTTATGTAACACATAATTGTGCTATTCCTAAATGAGGCATCTGCTTAAAATTAATTTGTTGCACACTTGGTGTCTACTATATGAAGGGTATTTGTGCCAGGTGTGGTGGTCATAGAATAATTCATGGTTTAGTACAGAAAGCAGTTCAGTAAGCCACCAAGTACCTTACAGTGTATTATATGGGAATCTCTGTAATTGATTTCTGTTTTGCCTTGTCCAGCATGCCTTTTTTTCTGAAGTGGTTCCTGGATTTTTCTTTGAGAATTATGCCCCCGCCCCAATTCCATGTACTTTGAGTGCCGTAATGGATACATGATACATATCTGGACAATTAGAACATTATATTCTTGGAGTCACAATGATTGATTCATGGATATTTCTATGATCCAAGCCAAGCCAGGTGGCTACAGTCAGAAGCAATTGTGTGACACAGCACTGTTCATTCAGGGATTCACAGATATTGGGATGTGGTAGGAAAACTGGGTTTGTTAACAGGATGAGTTGGGAGATGAAGTAAGATGATAGGCAAGGATAGTTGGAGGTTCTTGTTGCTATGCTGAAGAATTTGGATTTTTCCCTGAAGACAGTAGGTTCCATTAGGTGATTATAAGCAGGGAATTAACATGATCACATTAATACCTTAGAAAGAGTAATATGGTAGGTGTGTGTATGATGGGCTGGGGAAGATGAAGCAGAAAGCAAGGAATGAATGAAGATGGCACAGCAGTCCAAACCAGAGATAAATGAGAGATCTGGACCATGACTCCAGCAGTAGAGACAGGGAAAAGAGGCATAGCAGGGATGCTTTCCATCAGCTTTCCAGGATATATCAGAAAGGGGTAACATGATAGTAGCATTTCCCTTGAGAAAGTATATTCCGGCTGTAGTTCAATTTTAGAAACAAAAGCAAAATAAAGTTTAATTTAAATGTATGGTTAAGGTTAAATATGCATATAAATCAATTTTGAATCTTTTTAAGGTGCAGATTTTTGTTCAGAAGTTCTTGGGTGAGATTTGAGATTGTGCATTCCTAACAAGCTCCCAGATGCTGGTGGTGCTGTTCCTCTGCAGACTTCAATTTTAGTAGCAAAGGTCTAGTACTTTTTGAGGTGTGAGTAGGTCATTAAAGTAAAAAAAAAAGTTCATCAGACAGTAGATGTAGGGGTTAGAGTTTAGGAGAGACAGAGATTTGGGGTGGAGATATTTGGGAATGATGAGCACATAGGAGAAGATGATGCCAGAATATTAGGATAAAGGGCCATGACCAGTGTTTGGACAAAAAGATCAAAGGATGACCCAGGGTAGGGTCAATCTTTAGGAGGTAGTTGGAGAATAAAGCTTAAGAAGGTCAAGAAGTAGCAGATAAAACTGGAATGCCAAATTTTCAATGAGAAGTCTTCAGTTCCCAAGTTTACTATATAAATACTAGCTTTATGCTGAACATTCCAAGTGTCAGGTAATCTGTGTCAAGAATATCTAACACTGCTAAGGGCATCAAGTTTTCTTCAAATACAGGGTGTTTTTCTCTAACCACACCCATCCTTCTGAGCTGGTGGAAAATTCTATTTTGGTTAGTATAGGACTCTCTACCCCAATGAATTCAGGTGCACTCAATGAAATAAAGGTTTTTTGTTTTTGTTTTTTTTTCAATTTGGCCCTACGGCCGGAGAAGTAACAGGTCTTGTACCAGAGTTCTCAAGGAGTAGCGTATAATCATTCTCTGCATTCTTTTACAATACCGGAACGAACCAGATTATTACTTAATCCATATAAATGTGCTACAACCCTAAAACCATATATGCATAATTCCCTCTTTATATGAAGCCTGGATGAATTCACAAACTCTTCAAGTCCAACAGCTATTAAACTACTATGTAGGCGCTCCGAACTATGTGCCTTGAACTCTGGAGCAACGAGGGTGTGGCATTAACACAGGTCCTAGAAAAAAAAAAAAAATCCCTGAGTGGCATAACCAGACTCAAATTCAGGAACCTCGTATTTGGCGGGGGTCGGGGGAAGGAGGGTTATGGGGAGAAAGTCTCTGTGTGCCTCGAGTGGAGGACTGGGGTTTCTTTAATCCTCACAGCAACGCTATCCCGATTTTACAAAGAAGAAAACACGTTTGGAGCGTCTCGGTGACTTGCGTAACGTCACAAGCTCACGCCCTTGTTTTCTGGCTCCCAAAATGTTGGTTTGTCCATCACACAAAAATGACGTGCCCTGTGCTTGGTTAGAAATTCCGCGAGTAGGAAAACCTCAATACAAATACCCTTCAATTTAGGGAGGTCCTCCAAAGAAACCTAAATCTGCACCTGCGCAGTCCTCGAGCCCCCCCCCCACCCCGACCTCCGCTCAGCACGAATGCGTCAGGCGCTCCACCCACCCTCACCCCGCCCACCCCGTGCCATTCCTCCAATCCTCGCCTCTTTCCTGCCCGGATGTCATACAAATTTTGGCGGATGTTGTTGTGGGTCCGAGAGACACGTGAGGTACTGCTACGTCATCACCGGGCACGCGCAGAAAACATGGCGGCGGCGGGTGTTGTGAGCGGGAAGGTGAGTAACGGCCCTGGGTAACACCCTTGGTTTTCTGTGGGACCAGAATCCATTTGCTGGCTGGGGGCCGGCCCGGGAGGGGAAACAAGGGTCCATTTGCATCAAGAGCAGCCGGTAGCGGATGCAGAAGAGGACTTGGCGGTAGTGTCAGATGTTTTTCCCAGGAATGCCGATTCAGACAGTGAGTTAGAGACCAGTTCCTGCCCCAAGGCCAGCTAGGCCTCGACTCTCCAGAGCCGGAAGGCTTTTTATTCGCTATCCTTTCTAAGGGACAGGTGGCTCCCTAGGTCCTTAAAAAAAAAAAAATCCTGACTCGTTCTCTGTGTCTCCTCTTCTGACTTCAACGCCTTTTCTATTTTTGAGGCGTTAACCTGACTTGCCCCGTCACCATTTGCTTCGCTCTAGTGAAGGCGTCTGTGCCACCATCGGGAGGAACTGAACAGGTGCCCTGCAGATGGGTGCTTGGAAGAAAAAGAATATCGCGTCGAATTTACCAATTGCCGTGACGGTTGTGAGCAGCAAGGCGTGTTTCCACGGAGGGAGCTGGAGATTGACACCATCCTGTGCTTGTCTAGAAGGGCACTGGTTAAAATACTTATTTCCTACCCGTCTGCGGGGCTTTTCCATGGGGGTTACCCGCAGTGCTGTTTCACAGAGGTTAGTCACTGACACCCTAACTAGTTAGGAACTAGTATTAGCCGTGGAGAATTCGTTGAATATTTTTCAGTTCTCATTCCAAGGGCACAGCTTATGCATTAGTGCTGTCAGCCTTATGACAGTCAAGTGGCAGCATTTTCCAGTGCGGGGTATTTCGTAAACAGCTGGGACTGACTGGTAATGACTCATAGAACACCAGGGGCTATTTACTTGTTTCGGATAGCTTTCTCTGTCCCTTGAGTTTCACTCACGTTCTCTCTGCTGCATTCCGCCCCATTTTGAATTATTTGATAGCGTTTGTGGCTCTGTCTATGGAGTACTAGACTAGGCCGCAGAATAACAAATGGTGGTCTTGTTTTCGCTGTTGAACTGAAGTGTGACCTTTGGGAAGCCGGGTAATTATGGCTTCTGTTCTTTATATTCTTTATCTGAAATATGGGAGTTATGTCAGTCATTTCTTACTTGATAGTGCACAGGAGTACAAGAAACTAAAAAAACAACAAACCCGCCTCCCCAAAAATCACATACTTATGGATACACTTCCCCTTTCCAGGTTTAGATCGATTTTGAAAGAACCCTTGATAAAAATGAGTTGTGAAATATAAGGCTTATTTCTTTTTTACTCTTCCCTGGTCGTTACAATTCATAGTCTGACTTCTTGAAATTAGTCTTCTATTTCATAATTCTGGTCTGTTTATTCTCATTAACTGCAAATTCACATCCTTTCCCCATTACTTCACTGAAACTCTTTTCCCATGTCCCCAGGCTGCTCATCTCCCAAAAATACTATCATGACCAGCCAAACCTACTTAGCCTTCCTTCAGTAAGTTGTGGTTTAGCGAAATCATCATTTATCTAGTAACATGTAAAACAAACTTGCAGGGCTGGGTGCCAGGGACTCATGTCTGCAATCCTAGCTACTTGGGAAGCCGAGAGGAGGATCATGGTTCAAAGCCAGCCCATGCAAGTAGTTCTCCAGACCCCCATCTCCAAAATAATCATAGCGAAAATGGACTGGAAGAGTGGCTCAAACCGTAGAGTGCCTGCTTTTCAAGTGCAAAGCCCTGAGTTCAAACCCCAGTTCCATCAAAAACAAACAAACTTAGTCATCCATTTCTATAAAGTCTATAACCAAGTCCTACCAGTTCTACCGGAAAGAGTTTTGTTACATTTTCTGCATCATCTACACTTTGAATGTATAGCTCAGGCCTGTAGTCTACTTCTGTTCTTGAGTTCTTGGCTGATTTTTTTCCTTGTGTACAATCTCTTCCCACAGTCCCTCTCTATGCCACCACCCCAGGGTTTTTTTTTTCAGTACAAAAATCCAATTGTCTCTTACTTTGGAAAAACAAAAACCTTTACTTTGTTACTGTCACTGTTCAAGTAATAAGTAATGATTAACTTGGCATGAAAACACGTTCAACCTTTATGCTCCTCTAAGTTTCTTTGGGAAAGGGGATATGGGAGGAACATGTGTGGATGTGCTTTATCTATTTAACTCTACCCTTTCTGAAGTTCATCTAGGACTGTCTGGTTTAGCATTCCAGAGAGTGGGTGTTAACCAAAGCTCACAAGAGTTACTTGAGATAGTTAAATACTACCTCTCCCCCAAATCACAGATGCTGGACTACTAGTACAATAAATTAGAACTCCTAAGGGTTGCAATTTAGGATGTAGACTAACTTTCTTAAAACTGCTTTATGTTCTTTGGGTGTCAGGAAGTGATGGAGGAAGTTAATCTCTCTCCTGCACAGAAGCAGACCTAGCAGGTTAAGAGCTTTGACTCTGGAGTCAAATTGGTTTCAGAAACTAAATTCACTTAATAGTGACTTCAGCCCAATTTACGGAATTGTTATGAGGATAAATGAATAATATATTAGAATGCTGCAGATGTTACTCAGCCAATTTTTCATTGCAAATCACTGGTTGGATATGGTAGAATCTTAGAATATGGTTTTTGGTACTGGTGTGAACTTTGTTTTCAAAGTTATTTTTTTCTTACTCTCTTCGTGATTTTAGCAACTGAAAAATACCTTGTTTTAAAAATCATTTAAAAGTAATTTTGACAATGAATGAAAAATCATTCATTAGGGCACTGGTTAAGTAGATGGACCTGATTGTTTAGGCTTAAAGGCTAGGCAATCTGAATTATCGTTGTGCAACTTTGAGAAAATTGCTTAACTTCCCTAGGCCTCACTTTCCTCATTTGTAAAATGGGATTAATATACTTCCAGTATGGTTGTAGGAGGATTAAATGAGTGACTATTTGCAAAGCATTTAAAATAGTTCTTGTCATCAAAAAAGTGCTCAATAGACTTTAGCTGCTATTATCAGTATTAAGGAAGATGTTTTAGTCTGGTTTAAGATTGTAGGATGGTTAGTGTTGGTTTGAAGTAGTTGAATGCTTATTTATGCTGGCAGTTTTCTGTAAGGAAATTAAGCTGCTCACAAATATAGAAACAATTAAATTGTGTAAAATTACAGAGGAAAATGAGGCAAAAGGAAAGTAAAGTTAGGAACTAGAAGTATGATTATTAAACTATACCTTAGTGAGCCACAATGTGGCTATAAGTTTTCTAACAGCCAAAGTAAAAAGGGAAACCTGATCAACCATAAGAATATCAGGATCCATGAAAAAATAGAAACCAAAACCTCAAAAAACTAATTTCTGGAGACTAGATCAGAAAATGCGGTCTTCTGTGAGTTCTTTCTATGATGTAATATAATGAACTTGATTACATAGTATACTGTACTTTAGTTAAAAAACAAAAAAGGCTCTGTAACTCATGCCAGTGGATATTTACTAAGTATAATGCCTGAAATAGTTTTTGGTATTATACTCTACTAATTACAGTTACTTTCATTCATTCATTCTACAAATATTTATTAAGCACTTGATTTGTACCATATATCTCTATGTTAGACATTCGAGATATATCACATATCCCTGGCCCTTGGAGTTTATAGATTTCAGTTTTCAAAAAGAAAATATTCATGATCACCCCCTTTATCTTGTTTAAGTAAGAAATGCAGTATTGAGTTTCAAGACTTTGAAGGGAGTGCTGTTTTTAGTGAATATTTATGTTTTGGTGACCTGTAGATTGACTAATTATCATAAGGCCAGAGCTTGAACTGCTTCAACTGTATGTACCTTGATTAGATTCTGACACATAGTATGTATTCAGTGAAGAGAAAAGAGCAACATGGTAGAGCAAATGAGGGAGGGCTGGAATAAGAGAGGCTCACTGATCTTGTTTTAGAATTGTAAAATCTTATTGTAGTATACTTTCATTCACTAGGTTTTTGTTCATTATTATTAGAATTTCATTCTAATAAAATAACTTGAAACAATTAGAAAAATCAGGTTTTTTTTTTTTTGGGCAACACTGGGATTTGAACTAAGGGCCTCACACTAGCAAGGCAGGCACTTTTCTTGAGCCACTCCGCCAGCCCAGTTAACTTATTTTTAATCAGAATTTGATGACATTTTAGTAAGAATTTATTTTGTAGCTTAAAATTGTCCCCATCCTGTTCCTTTTAAAAATGCTTATAGTTCTGTGAAATCATTATACTTTAGAAAGATAAAGATAAATAATATTTTAAACATCTAGTTGATTTTCATAGATAAGGAAAGAATTTTTCTTCCCTTAGACTAGATCTTTAACATGATAGTTGCCTAAGATATAATATGAATATGTCCTTTCTCTTTATTTTATGGCATTCTTTAACAAACATTTGAGTACCTGCTTTATGCTGGGTTCTTTAGGAACAGGGGTTGAACACAGGCTTTATTCTTGACACAGCATAGTAGTTTGCAGTTTTTTTTTTTCTTTCTTTCATTTTGTCGTTTTTACATTTACTTATATGTGTATGTGTTGTTTGGGCCACCTCCCCTCTCCTAGTAGTTTGCAATTTTAAGTCATTTCAGTTTGTGAGATAATAAAAGCATGACTTTTTTTTTTGAATGAAGATGTTAAATCTTAGTTTTGATGAGACATAGCTGTTGAGATTAGATGGGAGATTTTAATCCAACTTTTTTATTTTCAGTTTTTGATGGAAGAAAATACTTCCAAAGTGTTTGTACCTTTTCTTAATGTACTATAATGTATATGTAGTCATCAGTATAAGAGAAATTATTCATGTGGTCACTTTTTTTAATCTCAGACTGCTAAATTACTTCTGTCTACTGTCTGACATCATTTAGCACACTGATATCCTTAAGCAATACAACTACCCTTCGAGAATTGTTCTACCTCATATAACTCAAAGATTCACTCTTCTCTCAGAATTTCTATGGTGTGTTACTTTACAACCAACAATTTGCTACGTTTTTTTATTTCTATAGTCATTGCTAATGATCAACGAATCCCAAATAAAATTCATTGTTTACTTTTTCCTTCTCCATTGTCTATCTCAGTAAATAACCTCTCATCTTCTCAGTTTTGTCCTTGTCTTCTGTCCCTTTTACCATGTACATGTAATCAGTCACAAAATCCTGTCATTCCAACCTTCTAAATATCTTTCTAAGCCATCTGCCTTTACTCATCCTCATTGCTACTGCCTTAGTTGAAGCAAGCCATCATGAGTCTCTACCTGGATTATTGCAGCTGTTCATACTTAGCCTTTCCAGCTTAGAAAAAGCAAGTTTGAACATGAGATTCCCCTGTTAGAACTCTAATGGGTCCTTTTTTTGGTCTTCTGGATAAATTACAAACTCTTAAATTCTGTAGCATGGCCAATAAAACTTTGATCTGAATTGGTCTCAATTTTTGTCTTTAAACTATTTAGATCCTACTCTCTGATACTTGACTTTTAACCATGATCTTAACTGTTATTCTCTGTTTAGAACACACATCCTCTGCCAAGAACATATATCCTCTGCTTTCACTCACCTTTATTGAAATCGACATTTCTTCAGGGTCTTACATGTCACTGGAGATAGTCCACGTCATTTCTGATCTCCCTCTGCCGGCCCTTTTGAGAATCATTTGTGGAGGACT